CTCCTAAGGAAGATCGCTAACAACCCTTTGCTGAGATCTGGCCAGAGTGGTCAAATTAAGCTGTGTAGGGCCTTGTAAGGACCTGAATGGGAGAGATACGAGGAGAATCCAGAGCCTCACTGAAATCAGTGGAAGGACCTTAACTCAGTCGGGTCTGACATGTCTGTCTTGCAGTTAGAAGGGTGGGAATGAGTAGATTACAAGTTCTGAGGGCCATTAAAGGTATCTAGACCCTCCCTTGCTGTCCTGAAGTGGTGCAGGTGGCTCGGTGCATGGCAATCTCAGGGCTAGCTGAATCATGACTGCCCCAGTAACCCGACACGTTTTTAGTGGGAGCTGCCGGAGGCACTGTCTCTTGGATGAGACAGAGACCCTGACAACTTGTGATCATTAAAATCCCACAGCCACCTTTCAGAAGAGTAGAGGTCTTTAGTGCTGTCACCAAATTCCAACTAAGTCACTACTTCCTACTTAATAAAATTCCCACCAAAGTTTCAGCGGCATTCAATATTCTCCTCCATTTCTGCCTTGAGCTGGTGTGCCGTATTGCTGTGTACTATTAAACAGCTGATGCTTTCACCCCTCTCTATCCTTCACCTAACTCACAGGGATGTTTTGAAGCTAATTTAATATTTGTGACCTCAATAAAAGGCTCTACAGAAGTGCAGATTATTATTAACAGTGTTAGTGGGAAGGGAACTGTTTTACAGCCTTGGTGTGATGCAGTATTGGAGTCCGCCAATAGAGGGTGCCATGATTTCACTATGGATTGTGCTTAGGACAGGCGTCTATGACAAATTTAGAGAACACAGAAGAAATAATCTCTCCAGGTCAGTGGCAAATTGAGCCTGTCTATGTAACTGAATCTACTCCAGGTAAAGTTGGGAAACATAACTCATCTCAAGTTTAACTTTTTTCATTAACATGCATGTTAATTTTCACCTGTTTTTCCCCCTCCCGCTAAAAGATACGCTCTAGTTCAAACAAGAATTGATTCAGGGCAGTTCTCTGAGATCAGATGAGATGTTCACAGTGGTCCCTCCTGGCCAGCCTTGGAATCTATGAATCCCAGAGTCCAGATAGAACATTTTGGAGAGTTTAAGACCTGCCATCAAAATAACACGCTCAGTGAAGCCATAAGGAAGTGAGAGGACCTGCCAACAATCATGAGCTCCTGCTCTGTGGCTTTCTTGCGGAGCCGCTGCCAGATATCTATGGCGAAGAGCGTGCTGCTGCTGTTGAAGATTGAGGTGAGGGAACTCATCAGGGCTGCCAACATTACAGCTATCATCAAACCTCGGAGTCCTGGGAAACCAACAAGGAAAATTTGGTTCAGATTGTTGGTCTTTTAGCTCCTGCATCATGTGCTGCATATGAATGTAAACAGAGTCCAGAGAGCTCTTTGGATCTGCGGCTCTGGTCCGGACCCATCTCGACTTTTTTTAGACCTAGTCAACATTTAAGGTCAAATTCTTTTTTCTTCCAAAAAATGTCCTTTTTTCAAAATAAAAATTTTCCAGGAACATTTTTTTTCTTTAGAATTTTACTGTTTCCATTAAAAATGGGAAAACTAAAAACGTTGGCTGAAAAATTGGAAAATTTCCATAACATTTTTTGAAAAATATGTTGGGATTTTAGTTTTCGTTTGATATTTTGCCATAGCAAATACTTTATTCTTTTCCATTCAATGCGGCTACTTCTATTTATCCATCTCTTTGTCAAACACACACACGCTTGCCTGCTATATAATGGAAAGAAAACTTTGCTATCTTTTAGTTTGTTTACCAATCCAACTGATAGTTGCAGGGCATTAGTTCCTCATATGGATAGCTCCAAAGGCCACTCCATTCCGAGGACACAGCTGTTCAGTGCTAGTACAAGCCCACACCCCTAAGAATACAGATTTCTCACCTACAGGCATGAGTCCCATTACAAGCTTAGGATAGGCAATGTTAGAACAACCCACTTTAGCTCCGCAGACGGTTTCACAGACTTTCGGGTCCACACATCCCACTTCATCTGTAGCAGAGGGGAAAGATTAGAAACCGAACCAGCCAGTTTAAACCTCCTTTGTGGCATATCTACTCCAGCTATTGGAAACTGTCTTAAAGGAATTGATTCTTGATATCTTATATATTTAATATAAGGCAGTAAAACAGCAAGAACACAGTTTTCCAAGCTGTCGCAATGGGAGCCAAAGAACATTTCGGGCCCCCAAATAAAGGTAGAGCTTCGTGATGACACACTGCAAACTTGGTTCAGAGCAGATGGAACGCTTCACCCCTAGATGGGTTGGTGGCAGCTGGGATTGAACCTGGGACCTCTGGTTCTAAACGCATGAGTCTTGACTGCCTATGCTAAAAGAGCCGGCGCCATTAGCTAAGGCTGCAGCAGGCTCACCCATCTCTCTGTGTGGCCCAGCCATCACTAGAGGGGGACAGAGGAAACAAGTGCTGCAGTCCTGCTTGGCTCCCCCTGCACCTAGTGCATTCACAGCAATCCGATCCGAAGCCACAGTGAGAATCTGAGGATTCAGCTGGGTCTAACGCAGCTTGTTCTGGGTGGCGGAGATGAGGGGAGATCTTGCTTCTTTCCACAAGCAGAATCTCTGCCTGGCAGTTGCCTACCGTGCAGAACCCATGACAAAGCAGGGGGAAGAGGGGTGTCTCAGGTGAAATACTTTCACTATTACATCAGCATCATAACGGAACAAACAGGATTCCATGTCTGACTCAAAAGACCCGCCCCTAAAGTCTGTATGGGTCTGTCTACACTGCACTGAAAACTTAGGCCTGTGGGACCTGGGCTTGTGGACTCTGCGTTTCCAAGCCCCTGCTAGAGCACCCACACTGCATTGTAAACCTGGGCTGGATGTGCTGACACGTACATACGGCACTATGCAGACCTTCTGGCCTGGGTTTACGGCTTGACCTGCCTCCACACTGCAAAATGACAGGGCTAGGACCCAAGTCACAGTAGGATTTGGGCTCTGATCCACCCCCCCTAGGAGGTTTATAGGACCCGGGTCCTGAGTACTTGCTGACCTGAGTCAGACAGATTTGTGTGTGGACGGAAGGGAAAGTTGGGCTCAAACCTGAGTTGGAGCCTGGGCTTAGGGTGCAGTCTAAACATACTCGATGTCTCCATGTTTCTCTCTCGCCTACTCCCTTTTGTTTCCTATTAGATACATGCAGTGTCCACAAGATGATATTCTGACACCTGTCCCATGCAACTGTCCCAATGGCTTCTGCCACAGATGTCCTAAAGCAGCACCCCAAACCTGGAAGTGGAGTCAGGGGCTGGGAAGCTCCCTCTGAATTGCCAATAGCACTGTATGGAGATAAACCCTGGGGCAAGACTGCTGAGCTCTGGCAGGTCTGCACCGACACAAGGAAATTGTATTCGCAATCCACGAACAGTCCGACTGTAAGGAACAACAGCTTACCTGGGTAAAGAGCTCTGCTGATCATACCAGGCATGACAATGAAAAACATAGAGAGCATTTTCAAATAACCCGCCAGCACCGATCCACCCTTGGCATGCGACAGGTTCTTGGCAGAGAGAGACCTTTGCACTATAACCTGCAGTCAGTATAAAAATGGAAAGAGTTAAAAGAAAACCCTGCAGAGAGAAAACAGACTCATCATCTAATGCAGGATACTTTCATCTCGACGGATCCCAAAGCACTTTGCAAGCCTATGATAACATTCTCCTCTCTGATCTGCACTGCAGATCTCTGTTGCATGGTTCACTCTTGCTGACACCAGCGAGGGTCTGATTGCAGTGAGGAAATTTTCCCTTGCCCTTTACCGGCATCACTTCACCCGCCACTGCAATGCAGCCACCTCTAGGGTGAAACGCAGCCGCTGCTCAACAATGCACTCAGCACCATGAGACAAGAGCTCAGAATAGGGCGTGAAAAAGAACACGTCATTTTCGTTAAAAATCCCACACTGGATTGTGGTGAGCAGATCTGAATTTCCCACCTTTGAACACTGAGAGCTGGGCTGTCTAAAGAAGGGCCCATTTCCCTGTGCTCTGAGCCCACCGTAGGTTTTTGTATTTAGTATTAAGGTCAGGCTTGACAAAGCCCTGGCTGGGATGATTTAGTTGGGAATTGGTCCTGCTTTGAGCAGGGGGTTGGACTAGATGACCTCCTGAGGTCCCTTCCAACCCTGATAGTCTATATTCTATGATTTGCTCAGTACATTTCACACGAGGCTCCTAGTTCGGGAACAGATGAAGGACTGCACGTTGGTGGTATCTGCCGCTGTGCAATACTTCACGCTTCTGCCGCACCGTGTGTGCAGGAATTTCAAAAAAGTGGGTCATAGATGAGATTTAAGTGACTTGCACAGAGTCATGTGCCATATCATTGGCCGAGCCGGGAACAGAACACAGACCTCCTGGCTTGCAGAATGAGGCTTTTACTGCCTACCTCCATAAAGAGACCCCACTTGCTCACCCGCCAGCTGTGCACATAGGGGAAAACATCACACCCTGCTGCTCCCCACCATCAAAACAAGCCCCCCATCCCCAATACTCAGAAGCATTGAATTGCAACAGGAGCTGTGGAAAGAATGAGCAGGTCTGGTCTATCCCAGTCAGCAGAGGCGGTGGCTCCCCAAAGACAGACAGACGGACACACACATTCACCATTCCAGTGACTCTGCGAACAGTGCAGCAGCCTGGAAAGGAAGATACTGGGATAAAAGGCGGAAGGGGAGAGAGAGAAAGAGAAAAGAGACTTACTTTACCTGATCAGTGCACCAACACCAAGTAGCCAGCACAGAGAGGCCGAAGATAAGCCCAGGCCAAGGAATGTCCCCAGTGACAGGGTTCCTGAGCATGTGGAAGGCGTCAGCGCGTGGGAGGTGACAGGTGGTGTTTGGGACTATGACACTGGGTATCATGGTGCTGTATTTCTCTTTAAGTCCTTCAAACCAGCCGACTTTTTCAAACCCTGAGAAGGAAGCAGACAGTGGTTTAGGTTTGATGCCCTGCTACGAGGTCATTCATCCATCTTGTTCTCCCTCCTTCTTGCTTTCCCCCCCCTCTCTCTTCCTTGCTGTCCTCAAACCTAGTTTTTGGTGGCCCAGTTGGTGTGTGTTGTGGGGGTAGCAGGATTGCACCCAGAAACGCTGGGATGCTAATGGGATCTGGGGAATTCTGCACCCAGCAGTGCATTCTGGTGGAGACAGCACCAGCACCACAGAATTCCCTTAGCAGTGGCATCATTACCCGGACTGGCAAGAAAGTGCCACTAGAACCCAGAGTCTCTGATCAAAACCCTCTGGAAGAGCCTCATCAGGAAAACATGAAACCAGAGGAGGCAGCATTTGGGTTACTGTTTGGCAGGCAGGCTTAAAGCAAAGTGCTAAGGGTCCGTTTTTGTTCCCAATGATTCTCTTGTAAATCCAGAGTAACTCCCCTGGAGGAAAGCAGTAGAGGCGGCTGAAACTCAAAGGAGTTACGGGCACAAGAGCAGAGTTTGACTCCGAGGATCTGATCCAGCAAGCTGCTCTGTCAACTCCCAAAGGGAGCAAAAGGCGTTCAACACCTTGCACAAGTAAAATAAGCACTTTGGAATAAACAAGGAAGAGGAAGCTAGCTTGGTTTATGGGGACAGGTGCCAAATGTGGCTGTGAATCCTGTTATTAATATTAAATTATGGGCCTCTGTTGAAAGAGGGGAAAAATGCTCCATAGGGCCTAGCTCCTTGTTTGACTCAGATTGTAGGTAACACAGTCCCTTGTTCTTCTTACCTATAAAGGCGAGAACCGAAGCCCCGAGTACCATGATCACAGTCTGCAGCACATCTGTGTACATCACAGCAGTTAAACCACCTGTAGGAAGAACGGCAAACCACAGAGTAAGAGAGAGCCAAATGGGTGAGGTAATATCCATCCAACTTCTGTTGGCGGAAGGGACAAGCTTTTCAGCTTCACAGAGCTCTTTCTCAGGTCTGGAGAAGGTAACCAGAGTGTCCAAGCTAAATACAAGGTGGGACGGATTGTTAAGCATAAAGGTTTCACACGTGCTCTAGGAGACCGCTTAAAATGAAGTGGGCAGTTAAGGGTTAGCAGGCAGTAGGGTGTGCTACAAATTGTTGTAAAAAGCCATAAAACTAGTCTCTCTGTTAAGTCCATGTTTCGTCAAAAATAGAACTCTACAAAAGACAATATACCAAAAACCACAGATCCCCACGGTTACCTCCACAGATCCAACAACCACCCCAGACAAACCAATCAATCTGTTGTCTACAGCCTGGCACTCAGCTATCACCGAATTTGCTCTGAGGAGAAAATCCAGGATATACACCAAAACATGCTTAAACTACCTTCTCTAAACAAGGACACTCTACTAGAGAAGTAGATTGCCTTATGGAACGGGCCACTCAAAATGTCCTACAGCATGTGTGAAACCCCTACGCTTAACTATCGGTCCCACCTTGTATTTTGCTCAGACACTCCGTTAGTAGGGAGCCTGATCCAAAGCTCAAAGTCAGTGGAATTCTTTCCATTAACTTCAATGAGCTTTGGATTGGGCCCAGAATGCAGAGAAGTAAAATGCATTGGGGGAAGCGAGTCTTTGCCAGACTCCAGATTAGTGTGCTGCTTTTAAGGCAGTATCATTACCAGCTATAGTGTAGACAGCTGTCACTGCTAGCAAGATCACGGTGGACAGGTAAAGGTTCCAGCCCAGGGAGACTTGGATGAACAGCGCTCCAGAGAAAATATCTGTCTGGAATAAGAGCAAAGAGAATTTGAGTCTCTAGTGGGTTGCATTTCTTAGCACTTCTCTGACATAATCTCCAGCCCACACAAAACCCATTAGATGGGCAACCAGAAGGGAGGATGCTATGAAAACAAGGGAGGGGGAGACAGAGGGGAAAAGGACAGACACAATAGGATCAAAAAGGTGCACTGAGCTGTGGAGAGCATGGGGCCTGATTCGCTGTTGCACTGTGGCTCCGTGTGCCAGGCCCCAGACACGCATAAACCCTCCCCATCAGGTTAATACCCCTAGCGTGGGGGGGCCTTCCGGGGGGAGATCAGGTAGGCCTGTCCCTCAGCAACTCTATATCCCTGCAGTAGCTCACAGAAGCCATTACAGCACAACTTAGAGCAGCCTGTCAGGGATGTAAGTGATTGGCACCTCATTCAGACAGGGTCAGAACTCTCTCAGCAGGAAACGGCTCCTGACATTGGAAAGGGGAACCAGATGAATGCACAGACAAGAGCATGAGTCGCTGAGAAACAAGTGAGGGTCCCAAGCACTGTGGGTGTTGTGAATGGTTAGTCCGAGCTCACTTTTCTAGTAGGTGGGGTCATTGGCATCTGTTAAAACAGAACATCTTGGTATCACCCTGGGCTTGGGCTTGGGAGACTACGTGGTCTAATGGTCAGAGTGATGGACTATCAGCTGGAAAGACCATGAGTGAGTGGCCAATGTCTTGTGCTTCAACCTATCTATCTGAAAATGGACCCTAGCCAGCGCCTCACTGGTGTAGATCAGGGTTGCTCTAACAACTTCAATAACATTAGGCCTATTTATGCAGGTTGGAGATCTGACCTAGAGCTGCAGAAGCTCCCTGGGTCTCACTTTGTGGAGGGGGATAGTAAACGAGGCCAGATTGAAAAAAAAAAGCAGTATTAAAATTGAGATGCATCCATTGTAAATACAGAAGGTGGCACATAACAAGT